AGATGGCTCGTGGCTACACACTTGGGTTCCCGACACCCTTGTGCAGTAGTTGCTGGCCAGCAAAGACTTTCATTTGGCAAAACTTTGAGTGGTCTTCTGTGAAGAACCCCACAATACTCTTAAGATCTTAAAACGTTGTATCAACTTTGTGAACTTTACGTAAGATTGTACTTCCACAACTCTGGTTTTCATCTTTTGCTCATGTTCTAATCTCCTTAGCTTTCTGTTCCTCAGAGACAGAGAGCCACTCCCCGACACCTCAGGGCATTGTGCTGCTTCCTTGGGTAGGTATGGTGGCACCATGCCTCCATATGGCTGCTCTATCATTTTTCACTCGTCTGTTCAAATACGTGCTCGGCAGAGGCCTTCCTTGTGCACCCAGTCTAAGCACCCTCCCAGTCACTCCCTCACAGAATAAGCAGAGTTCTTCATGTGCTAGAAAATCAGGTCCATTGAACATGTCCACTCAAAGCAAAGGCCTTGAGACTATGTATATTCTGAGTATTAGCATAATTACTTATGGCTGTTTTAATATTTTATTATTTTTATGTGTATGAGTGTTTTGCCTGCATGTGTGTGCACCTGTGTCATGCAATGCTGCAGAGGTAGGAAGAGGGCTTGAGTCCCTTGGAACTGGAGTTAAGAACGGAGTTAAGATAGCTGCCATGTGGGTGCTGGGATTTGAACCCAGGTCTTCTGCAAGAGCAGTCAGTGCTCTTAATCGCTGAGCCATCTCTCCAGCCCCCAACTTATGGCTGTTTTTAAAAACCTAGAACCATGCCTGGCACACGGTAAGCACCCAATTTATTTGTTGAATAGTGAATGAAATGAATGAGTTTTCCCTCTAGTCACCTGTGAGAAAGGTCCTTGGCATTCAGAACACCGGAACACTCTCTTATATTAAGAGGACAGTGCAGAGCAAATGAAGGGAAGCCAGTGTGAGTCTTCTGAAGCTGGGCATGGTGGCACACGCCTTCAATCCCAGCACTTGGGAAACAGAGGCAGGTGGATCTCTATGAGTTCCAGGCCAGTCTGGTCCAAACAGTGAGTCCCCAGGTTAGCTGGGGCTACAGGAGACCCTGTTTCAAAAAGACCAAAAAAAAAAAAAAAAAGTCTTCTGAGCAGATTAACCATGAAATCTATGGGCAGAGAGAGCAAATGGACAAAGGACAGGGGGCAGGAAGCCTGTGTCTGAGGTGGGAAAGCCTAGGTTAAGATGTGTAGGTGAGCCTACTAGGGGTACACTCCATGAAGGAGAAATATCCAGAGCGATACTGAAGAGGTCAGCTCCAGCCAAATGTCCATAAACTGAACTTTGGGCCCTTGCTGACACAGGTTCAGAATGGTTTAGAAGTTCTACAATGTGCAAATCTGCAACGGACAAGGATTACCTTTTATCAGAGTTTTGCTAACATGCAAAATCAACTTTCTTTCACTAGGCCCCCACAGGTTAAGTGCAGAGAGCAGAGCCATTAGGTAACAACCAAACTCAGTGCACTGAGCCTGTTAAATGTTTAACTGTGAAGGAAGGTATCTAAGATGCATATGATAAACTTCATGCCACTTCTCAAGACTTGTGCAAAATCCTAAGCAATGTTAAGTGGATATAACTCTTGATTGTAAAACTTGAAAATATACTCCTCCACCAGCCTGGGTGGATCCCAGCTAGAAAATGTGAATCACTGGGATAGAACAATGCTAAGAACTGCATTATTAGGTGGTTCTGCCACTGGGAAAGTAGCAGTGTTCTCACAGACCCAGATGGCACAGCCAACTATACATCTGGTTATATTTTAAATCTGCTGTGTGTGCAATTTGCCTCTTAACATTGAAATGTAATAATATGAAATGTTACATAGCTCACAACTGTATAAATTTGAATTCTGGTGCTGAGTTTGATAAAATGGGAAACTGGCATTCTTAGAAGTGTTGCTAGCTAGCCATGGTGGGGCATGCCTGTAATCCCAGGAGTCTAAAGCAGGGGATTCTGCAAGTTTGAGACCAGCTAAACCTATATAGGGAGACCTTAATTAAAAAAAAAAAAAAAAAAAAAAGCAAAAAAATGTTCTTGGAAAAGATATGGAGGGAGGGTACTGGAGACACACTTACCTTAGAAGCACAAGGCCACTGGGCTTGATCTCTAGCACTGAAAACAGAACTATGGAAGAGCAGGATCAGGATCAGGCAATATTGTATCCTCTGCCAAGAGCTCCCTGGCCCGCTTTATTCACTGCAGCTGTATGAAAACACACAACTCCCAGAGAGCACTTCTCTGAGTTCCACTGCAAAGTCCTGATACAATCAGTCTAAGCATGGCCTGAAACCGATTTGGGAAAAGCTTTCTGGAAACACAGAAGTAGCTGATCATTCCACCACACTTTGAATAGCAAGGTTGTGAATTAACAAACACAAAAAAGGAAATAGAAAACCGAACATTTTCTTTATTTAATAATCTCTGATATGTAAAATACAACTCATGACATCCACATCAACAGAACCCTCAGTGTTCAACAGTGCTTTGGAAGCCCAGCTTTCAAAGGAGCAGAGAGACGGAAGACCTGTGTGTAGAGTAACAGCCGTCAACTCTAGAGACCAGCATGAGGAAGGGCTGCAGCGTTGGGTCCTGAGCAAACGGCACTGCCCAGTGTACTTGGATCATGGCCAGATGATGCCTTTTATTCTACGGCTTTTGCACTTGAATTTCAAATATTTTATTTATACACAAGTCATTTTTTTAAAAAAGTTATTCCTAGTAGTCCAGTGTTATAGAAATTAAACACATTTCAAATTTTCCTCTTAAGAAAAATCATTTAAAAAAATTCCAGAAAACACTCCACCCTTTAACTATTAGAGATGACTGAGCACGTCCTAAACAAATCAGATTCTCACATTTTTCACTAATGCCTTCTGTGACTGCCATTTTAAAATATGTATTGATCCTATTAAATACTCATAAATTTAGAAAGTATGTTGCTTTGCATTAATTCTTAAAATGGTAGATTTTAGAAATAGCAATAGTATTTCTCAAATTATAAAATCAAATCCCTTTTCATTCATGAAAGACTAGAACAAAACTTTTTATCATACATGTTTTTGAAAAAAATAATACAGAGTCAATTCATGTCTTTAGCTAATTATAAAGGATTAGGAATGAAGGAAAAGTTTTTTTTTATCTTAAATATGGAAGAAAGAAAAATTACCTACATTCTTGGTAAGTTGATCTGATCTGGTTTTTCCCAATTAAGGTCACATATATTAGAGTTCCATACTTTCTAGGGCTAAAATACAACAAGCAGTTCACTTTGAAAATACTACCTTAAAGCCTCTCCAAATTTCAATAAAGTTTTAACCTTTTTTTCTTTTTATGGTGCTAGGGATTGAACTCAAGTCCTTGAGCATGCTGGGCAACTGCTCTATCACTAAGACATACCCTTATATCTACAGATAAAGGTGGAGCTGGAGGTCTCAATAATGGAACCCTCTTACTAATTTAAAACATCAGGATTTTCCAACTTAAGATTTTATCATATCTTGATTGTGCACTGTCAGTTTTTGGACATACACAGGCCACACATAGGGCCAGTTCTAGACTTTTGGCACTGGCATGGTTTAAAAATAGTATCCAACATGCAGATATTCAAAATGTGGTTTAGATTCTGACTTGAATAAACTTATTCAACTTGATATTAAATAAACAATGTAGACAACTGATAATTTTGTCTATAATACTACTTGTTTTGAGTTTTCTCCCTCATTAACTTTGGCATCATCAATAAAGCCTTCATCCAATAAAATCAAGTTTTAAGGAGAAAAAAGCACTTCCTTAAATATTCTGAGAATTGTAAATTATTTAGCCAAGGTCCTAAAAGTTTAGCATAAGAATTTACTTGTAGCAAAATATCTATTACTGTTAAAAAGAAAAAAAAGAAAAAGAAAAGTAAATTGATGGTTTTAGGCCAGAGAACAGCAATTCTAGGTTTTTAAAATATAAGCAACTAAGCCGGGCGTGGTGGCACACACCTTTAATCCCAGCACTTGGGAGGCAGAGGTTATTTTGATATATCACAGTGAAAGATTTATCGTCCTCTTTTTTTTTTTTTTTTTTTTTTTTTTAAAAAAAAAAAAAAAAAAAAAAAAAAAAAAAAAAAGCAACTTAAGCTCACGACACCTCAAAATATGAAAGCAGTATTTCCAAAGTTTTTTGGTTTTTTTCTCTTTTTTAGAGACAGGGTCTCACTGTGTAGCCCTGGCTGGCTTGGAATGTGCTACGTAGACCAGGCTGGCCTGGAATTCACAGAGATCTACCTGCCTCTGACTCCTCAATGTGGGATTAAAGGTACACGCAACCAAGTTTTCTTACATTTTTAACACTAGTATTACTACTGTACATATTTTTGCCTGGTAATACAAGTTATACATTAGAAAAATGATACCAGTAGTTTAAATATTAAACATTAAAGTGTTCCCAATTAGCAAAAACAGAATGGAAATCTTTATCAAGTTCATAGCATGACAGTGACTGGATTTATGTGTTCCTGACTGTCTTGCAGGTACAGTACATTAATGACAGTCCCTGGGGTATGAACTATAGCTTTATATAACTTTTACACCTTTTGATACTATGGTTATAAGCACTGCCATCTTTTCACACTGGCTACTCAGTAAGAACAGAAGCTAAACGTTCAGATATACTTAGGTCAACCCAAAGAGACGGAAGTTCAATGTTGATTCTGGATTTGCCTTGCCAAATATGACAATTTCACAAAAAACTAAACAAACATATTCGAAGGTATCCAGTGTGTGCTCAGCTCTTCTTTAAAAAGCCTCTAATAAAAATCAATATGCCGTATTTTCTAAAGTGCTTTAACTCAGGTGTGTTGATGAACTTTTCTACACTCCAAAGTTAAAACTCAAATGCACATCGGTTTTCTCATTTTTCTATTAGGTAGCTCATCAATTTAAGTGTATGCAAAGTGTAATGTGGTTTTTCCAAGGGAAAAGGTCACGTTCAATGTCCATGGATAGTATGACTAGTACACTAGGATAATTACATAAATGTTCAGTCTCCAGACATTTAACTTTGTGAATCTTTAGGGAAGATTTCTAGTTCCAACACCCTAAAGTTTCACAATTCTTCTGAAACCCTTTCAATTATTTAAAGAAAACTATAGATTTTAAAATAAAACTGCTTAATTTTGTGTAAGGAAAACTCCAAAAATCTTTAATTGCACAAATTGATGACTAAAAGAAAAACTCTGCTGCAGAGCTAGGGATGAAGCTCAGAGGTAGAGAGCTTGCTTAGCTCACAGGAGGCCCTGGCTTCAATCCCTAGCACTGCCAAAAAAAAAAGAAAGAAAAAGAAAAGAAATCTGTTCTACCCAAGAAAAAGTATTTCATAATCATAAATAAAAAAATATTTTTATGTTTTTCAGTTAGTTAACAATAAATCCTACATCAAAAACCTTCCCTGATAAACGTGCGTAGCAGCACGGACCAGTAGAGCAAGTCACCAGACTTTACTTTCCTAGGCTGTCAGCCAAAACTGCTTCTTGAATTCTACCTTATGTACAATTCAACATTCAAAAGGGCTTCAAACGGGCTGGGGAGTGAGGAATGGAGAGCAGATGACAGAATCTATGACACCTTTGTTAGACACATGGCTAATTTTCACAAAAATCATACCAATGTACTGTCCCAGCAAGACACTCCCTGTGCATCCCAATTAAAGAATGTTTATCAAAACTAAGGATTTTCTTATTTACAGACCCTTTAAGTACTGTGACCTCTACAATTCTTAAGCTCTTTAAAGATGCAAGGGTATAAATTTTAATATATTTTCATTAGTAAATTATTTTCATGTTCCAGACCGCCATCTCTGGCAGGCTACAGTCTACTAGAAAATGTGAAGATCTACATTCCAGGACTCAGCTGTACACAGAAAACAAAGCTGCAGTCATAGAATAAGATGAACCTGCCACTAACACCGAAGGCCGAACTGCTCCTGCCATACATTCATGGTGGGTGCATATGTTAAGTCTTAGAAGGAAATCAGCTTGCATACTAGCTTCTCCTTTTCTCAACTAGAGAAGGAAACAGTAAGGCGCAGGAAAGGGTTACAAAAGTAAGGTCTGACAGGACCGAAAAGACATTCACAAAGCATCTAGGAAAGCACATGCTCACACATTAAAAAAACAAGCTCATTTATTCCCAAGTACTTGAGTAGAGCTGATTTCAGAGTTGAGGAATGCATCAAAGTTAGGAAATAATGTCCCCATTAGCGAGGGCTTAAAAAGTAAAACCTCAGAATAGATTACCATGTTTGAAAAGAGTTGCGGAAAAATAATGAAACCATGAAGCACAGAAACTGTGACCAGAGAAAATAACACAAGAGGGTATCCGAGCACCGAATTATAGACTTGGGGAGATGGGTTTATCTTTCTGGAAAAAGACAAGAGACATTTCCACAAAAGGTTAGTATGATCAATAGGAAATGGAAGAAATGATTAGACTATGAAGAGAGCCAACCACCCGCAACAGGAGAGAGAAAATGAAAACAAAACTATCCACAAGCCCTGTGGTAAGAGCTGAACAGGTGGTCTGTAAAGAGAGTTAAGGAAAATGCCCTAATTTTAGACATGTTAGATATTGCACACTTGAAAAACAAAAAGGGACATTTAGAAAACTACTTTAAATTTAATTGCTGACTGCCTCTTTGGCGTATTTGTTTCATTATTTAGTCCTATGACTAATACATTTTCTGAGTTTCTGCTCATTTGTTTACAAACCCCTGAAGTGTCTGATTTCCTCTGGTAAACACTGATCTCTTTGACACGTTACCAAAAATGGACCCTATGTTGTAATCACACAGGACAGTGTTAGAAAGTAATGAGTATCAAAATGAGTTTTGAAAGGTATTATTTTTTTCCTTCTGCTTTCAAGTTATCTTTAACAGTTTCTAAAGACATGGTCACAGCAGCCCGAAGCATGTCTTCTTCGCTCATAGCATTACCTGCTGGGAAATAAAACACATTTCTCAGAAATTTCTGGAAAATTCTGTTACCAAAAGGTAAACTTTTAAGCTGAAGGCGTAGCCCAGTTGATAAGAGTGCTTGACTAATTTGCACAAGGCCTGGGTTCAGTTCCTAGTATGGCATAAAACAGGGCATACTAGGTAAAACAGGTAATCTTAGCACTCCGGAAATGGAGGTAAGAGAATCAAAGTTCAAGGTCATCCTTGGCTACATAAAGTATAAATCCAACCTAGGCTACATGAGACTGTCTCAAAACAAAGAAAAAAAGGCAAACTTTTAGGAAATGTACTTCTACTTAAATACTAGTTTTCTTTAAAAAAAAAACTGTAAGCATTTGTATGTGGACATACACGTGCCTCAACATGTGTGTAGAGATTGGAGGACAACTAGTTGGAACTGGTTCTCTCCTACCATGTGGGTTCTGCAGACTGAACTCGATGTCAGTCTTGGTGGCAAGTGCCTTTGCCTGCTGAGCCTTCTTGCCAACCCAAGTTTCCTTTCTTGACTTTGTAATTTACATGCTTCTTTTTTAGTAGCATTTAAAAAACCCACAAATGTATAGAGAACAAAATACCACCATTAAGACACACACTCATCCTGTCTACTGCTGCCCCTTTTCCGGGTTCCTTCCTGCTGCCTCTGTGACCACTCCCCAAGCTTAGCCAGATACTACTGTCTGTTGTACAGTTCTTTCTGCCTTTCCTGAAAATCATGTAAATGGACTCCTATGGTAAGTATGTAGCCTGTTCAATGTGACTTTTTACTTAGTGATATGAATTTGAGCTTTAGTGTGTATGCTAACAATTTACCCCTGTAAGGTTTTTTTTTCTTTTTTATTTGGTCTTTTTGAGACAGGGTCTCCCTGTAGCCTCAGCTGGCCTGGATTCGCTATGGAGACCAGGCTACCCTTGAATTCAGAGATGCCTCTGCCTCCTGAGTGCTGGGATTAAAGGCGTGTGCCATCATGCCTGGCGCTTTAAGTTTTTTTTTTAAACCTGAGACTATCTTTTTTTTTTTTTAATTTAAATATTTTTTTTTATGTGTATGAGTGTATTGCCTGCATGTATGTGAGTGTACTCGCGTCGTGCAATGCGGCGGAGGTCAGAAGAGGGCTTATTCCCCTGGAACTGGAGTTAAGGATGGTTTGTAGCCAGTTCATAGCAGCCATGTGTGATGCTGGGAATCAAACCCGGGTCCTCTGCAAGAACAGTCAGTGCTCTTAACCACTGAGCTATCTCTCCAGCCCCTCCATTTTAAACTTTTTAATTTTTATTTTATGTGTATGAGTGTATTGCCTGCATGTAGATAGGTACACCTGTGTCATTCAGTGCCAGTGGTCAGAAGAGAGCATCAGATCTTCTGGAACCTGAGTTACGGATGGTTGTTAGCTGTCATGTGGGTGCTGGAAGCTGAACCTGGGTCCTCTATAAGAACAGCCAGTGCTTAACTGCTGAGTAATCTCTCGAGCCAAAACAATTTACACTTTATAGAAAACCTTTTTATTTTTAAGTAATTACCAATTCACAGAACATTGCAAAGATAGAGGTCCTATGGACCTGTCAGCTAGATACACTTTCAATAACTAAAGCTCAAACTCAAACCCAGATATTGACACAGACATTAGCACAGTGTTGGATGTGGTTCCATGTAGCTTTAAAATAACATTAAAAAAATTTTTATCTTTTAAATTAAAAAAAATATTTTATTATTTTTATTTTATGAGTGTATTGCCTACATGTATGAATGCACCTGTGTCATGCCATGCCGCAGAGGTCAGAAGAGGGCTTTGGATTCCCCTGGAATTGGAGTTAAGGATGGTTTGTAGCTGCCATGTGGGTGCTGGGAATTGAACCCAGGTCCTCTTCTAAGAGCAGTCAGTGCTCTTAACTGCTGAGCTATCTCTCCAGCACCAAAGTAACATTTTTTTTGAGCCCAGCCTGGCCTCAAACTCATGATCTTCCTGCTCAGACTCCCAAGTGTTGAGTACAGGTACCATTGTGTTGATAATTTTAAAACCAAGCTATGCATGGTGGTGCATGCCTGGAGGCTAATAATAAAGAGGCTGAAACAGGAAGATCGTGAGTTTAGGCCAGTCTGGGCTACACAGTGAGTTCTAGGCTAGACTTGGCTACATAGTGAGGCTATCTCAAAACATAAAGCAAACTATATTGAATAATAAATAAAACTCAAGTACTTATCAAACGCTCTTTCTACTCCTTAGTCCAGTGGAATTTAGCATACTTCATTTAAGAGTTTTAATCCAATGAAAAAAGGAAGAAACAAAAGCTGGGCGTGGCAGCACACGCCTTTAGTCCCAGCACTTGGGAGGCAAAGGCAGGCGGATCTCTGTGAGTTCAAGGCCAGCCTGGTCTACACAGTGAGTTCCAGGTCAGCTGGGGCTACATGGAGACCTTGTCTCAAAAAGACAAAAAAAAAAAAACAGAAACAAAAAAGGAAGAAACAAGTATAGAGTAAAAATGACATGGACCCTGGGTATCAAGAAAAGCATTTAATTGGCAAACATGGTGAATGGCCAGAGAGCTAGCTGTACCTTGATCATTCCTGAGTCCTCCTGAACTTGTGGTCGGTCTTTCACATGGATATGAAAGCTGCCCAGGTGGAACCACCTCCTGCTGCTGCTGCCTGGAACATTCAGAAGTGAATATATATTGAAAACGCCTAAGAAAAATAAATTGTTCCATAAATCAAAATAGTCACTGGCATGAAAACCACGTGAGAATCAGTCTGACAATTACAAGTATGAAAGTGTTTATCCTAAAAAACCTACATATCTGGATTATCAGAAAAGAGGTTACTATTTTCATTTGCTGTGCAAGATGTACTAGTAGCTATCCTTATGCAAATGAATGTTTATCCATCCTTAATACTGTAAGGAGTCACTGAAAAGTACCTTTGACAAGACAAACCATGTCAAATTATCATGTGAGTTAATGTGCTCTTTCCCTGGGTGGCTCCTTCTTGTCACTGAGGTCTGAACTTAGTAAGCATTTCCCTAGAGATGCCTCTCCTGCCCACCCCACCAAAAGTACCCTGCAAACCTTCTATTTCATTTTAATTCTCAACACAAATGTACTGTCATCTGTATGCTTCTGCTTGGCTTGTAAGCTAATGAGAGGGCAAACATTATGTTGCTTACCTGTTTCCCCAGGGCCTGAAACTGTGCCTACTACATGGCTACTTCATTATTTGATGAATCAAAATTGCAAACAACTATTTCCCATACATTACCAAGTTTCCACTATCTACTGTATTAAGTATTTGGGGGGGGGATCTTTTTGAGACAGGGTCTCCCTGTAGACACAACTGGCCTAGATTCACTATGAAGACTAGGCTGGCTTTGATCTAACAGAGATCCGCCTGCCTCTGCTGGGATTAAAGGCGTGTGCCACCATGCTTTCTTCTGTATTTTTAAAAGTATAAACAATGTCATAAAAGCCTTATTTTTAAAACATGTAGGCAGGGCAATTAGAAAGCATTTAAAAATGTGAGCATGGCTGGGCATGGTGGTGCATGGCTCCTGGGAGGCAGAGGAAGGCAGGTCTCTGTGAGTTCTAGGCCAGTTGGGCTACAGGAAGACCCTGTCTCAAAAAAAAAATAAAGTGAGTGTGAAGCTGGCTGTGCCTGTACTCCATGGAACTCAGGAGGCTGAGCCAGGAGATTACCTGGGCCTAGGAGTTCAATACTAACCTGGGCAACATACTGCGATACTGTCTCAAAAACAAAACACGTAGGAGTATATCCTTGTATTTAGAAAAATGTATGCTGAAATACTAAGCCACAATGAGAGAACATACATGTTATTCCCATGTATTTCTGAAATGTCAACAACCAGAGAATATGGGTAAAGGTAAAGAAAGGTATAGGGAGCTCTGTGTACTACTGCTTTTATGAATACATACACAGAAAACTAAAAAACAAACCCCCAAAAATCCTTACAATGACTGAGAGTGAGAAAGCCTAGATTTTAAAAATGTATATGATTTTTCTTTTTTGTCTTTTTGAGACAGGGTCTCCTTGTAGCCCCAGCTGTCCTGGAACTCACTTTGTAGACCAGGCCGGCCTCAAACTCACAAAGATCCGCCTGCCTCTGCCTCCCAAGTGCTGGGATTAAAGGCGTGTGCCACTATATGATATGATTTTAAATGAATTATTAATAGCATTTTTCTGAATCTTTTGCTTCCTGTTTTGTTTTTTGAAATAGGGTCTTTAGTCCAGGTATGTAGCCTAGGATGAAACTGAACTCCAAGGAGATTGCTGCTTCAGAGGGATAACCTTTATTCTATTTTTAATTTTTTTTTTTTTTTTTTTTTTTTTTTTTGAAAAGGGTCTCCCTGTAGCCCCCGCTGTCCTGGGACTCACTATGCAGACCAGGCTGGCCTTGAACTCACAGAGATCCTCCTACCTCTGTCTCCCAAGTGCTAGGATTAAAGGCGTGCACCACCATGCCTGGCTTCTGCTTTTAATTTTGTAAAAAATATTTTATTTAACACCAGGTGTGGTGGCATACCCCTTTAATCCCAACACTTGGGAGGCAGATCTGTGTGAGTTCAAGCCAGTCTGGTCTACATAGTGAGTTCCAGGCCAGCCTCACTACAGGGAGACCCCGTCTCAAAAAGAAAAAAAAAATATTTTATTTTTATTTTATATATAGGAGCACATTGCCTGGATGTATGTAAGTGTACCATATGAGTGCAATGCCTGTGGAGGCCAGAAGAAGGCACTGGATCCCCTTGAACTAGAGTTATGGATAGTAGTTAGCTGCCATGTGGGTGCTGGGAACAGAATTTGGGTCCTCCGCAAGAGCAGTCAGTGCTCTTAACTGCTGAACCATCTCTCCAGCCCCTATTACCTGTTCTTTTTTTTAAAAAAAGATTTAATTTTTTAAAAATTTAAAATTATGTGTATTTGTGTATGTATTGCAGATGCCCCTGAGGGCCAGAAAAGCCTGTTGGGATTCCCCAAGCTAGAGTGACAGGCAATTGTGAGATGCCCAATGTGGGTGCTGGGAAGTGAATTAAGGTCTTCTGTAAGAGCAGTATGTGCTCTCCAGCCCCCAGCAGCCTATTCTTAAATGCAGTATCTGATCCTCTATAATCCTAACATGGCAGTGGTTGTAGTCCTCACAAACTGGCCTGTAATATTGTGTAGGCCTGGCTGAGAGCTTTTCTAAACTTGTAAGCCTTAATTTCCCTGTTAATTACATTTCTGCTTAAACACCCCTAGTAGTTTGTTCTTAAACCAAGCTGTCTGATAAACTATGCCATGCCACTAAAGCAATGACTTAAGCAGTAGGCAATCAAAATATTATGGCACTCCTTGGCTATGAAAATATTTGTATCCTTCCTTACTATGAAACACTAAGTTTCTTATAACAAGCAGACTGTATCATTTCAAAGCTACTCCTGGAAAAGATATTAAGTAATGCTAACAAATATCTATCTGTGGAATACTTACTAGTTTACAAAATAATCTTCATATCCACCATTTATTTTATGCTTCTAACATGAGTTATGGCAGGCATTAACAGTACCATGGCTGATGTGGTAGTTTTGCTTGGTTTATGACTGGTAAAAGAGATGTAGAGATTCCTGCTAGAAAAAACTGTCATGGCTATGAAAATATTACTTACCAAATTTTCCTTAAAAATTATGAATTTGTAATAGGCTATTTTTTTTAAAACTTCTGGTGGGTTAAAAATTTTTTAATTAAAATTTTAACTTATTTTTATTTTATGGGGTTTTTGTTGCTTGTGAGACACGATCTTTCTGTAGCCCCAATTGGCCTGGGACTTACTATGTAGACTAGGCTAGGCTCGATCTCACAGAGACATGTCTGCCTTGTCTCCTGAGTGCTGAGATTAAAGGTGTATGCCACCATGTCCAGCTATGTTTATCTTATCTGTATGAGTGCTTTGCCTGCTTGTATGTAAGCACACCATGTGCATTGCATTGCCTGTGGAGGTCAGAAGAGGATGTCAGATCCCTGTGGAACTGCAGTTATAGATGACTGTTAGCCACCCTGTGGGTGCTGGGAACCAAAATGGGTCCTCTGGGAGAGCAGAGAGTAGTTCTTAAAAGCTGAACCATCTCTTCAGCCCCAATGGGCTAATTTTTAACAGTAATTTTGAGCTGGAGAGATGGCTCTGGGGTTAAGAGCACTGGCCGCCTCTCCCAGACGGCCCAGGTTCGGTTTCCAGAATCTACATGGTGGCTAACACCCATCCTTTATCCAGTTCCAGGGGATCTGACTCTCTCTTCTGGCCTCTGCAGGCACTAGGCATGCATGTGGTGCACTTTCATATATGTAGGCAAAACACTCCCACACATAAAAATAAAATCTTAAAAAAAATTCCCACAGTAGTTTTTATACAAGAAAGAGATCCTATAAAGAATTTTATTTGATCACCACATTACATTTGAAGCACTGAATACTCAATGGGGATGGGGAAAAGAACAGTTAAAACTCTGAATAGCAAGTTAGCACCAGGATCGGCTGGAGAAGGAAGAAAGGAAGAGACAGCCAGATACCTGACAACGGTTCAACCAAAAGCCCAAAGACAGAAGCTAGAGAGAGAGGACCTAGTCAGGTTAAGATTTGAATGAATGGCAAATACAGTTTCTTAGCTTCTCTACTGATTCTGTATACTTTGAAGGACTAAGGCTGGAAATCACTGTTAACCCACAACCAACTACTAGAAAGGGGGCGTGCTCATGACCAGACACCTTTCAAAAGTGCAAGGCTGGCCACATTATGTCAGCTAAAAAGCAGTAGTTATGGCTTTTTTTTTTTGGTCTTTTCTAGACAGGGTTTCTTCTATAGCCCCAGCTGGCCTAGAACTCACTATATAGACCAGGCTGGCCTTGAACTCACAGGGATCCGCCTGCCTCTGCTGGAACTAAAGGCACGCGCCACCATGCCTGGTACTAGTTATGGCTTTTAAAATACTTTATTATTTTTAATTATGTATATTAGTTTATTGCCTGCGTGTATACAAATGTATCTGTTGTGCAATCCCCTTGGGGGTCAGAGGACAGTGTCGGATCCTCTGGAATCAGAGTTACAGACGATTTTTAGCTACTGAGTACTGGAAATCGAACCTGGGTCCTCTGCAAGAGCAGCCAGTGTTCACAACTGCTGAGTCATCTCTTTAGCTCCACTAGTTATGGCTTTTTAATTGTGATTGTTATAGTCAACTTATTCATTATAGGATGCTACTAAATTATCTTTCTTGCTACTAAAAAATACAAAAATATATTGAAAGTTTCACTTTTTTTTTTTGCCTTTTTGAGACAGGGTCTCCCTGTAGCCCCAGCTGGCCTGGAACTTGCTAGGTAGAGCAGGCTGCCCTTGAATTCATAGATTCACCTGCCTCTGCCTCCCAAGTGCTGAGATTAAAGGTGTGTGTCACTATGTCTGGCTAAAACTTTCATGCTTTTAATCTAAAAAAATTAATAAAATGTCTGAATAAAAGAATGGGATTGGTGAGATGGCTCAGCAGGTAAATAAAGGCTCTGGCTGCTAAGTCTGATGACCTGAGTTCCATCTCTGGGTTGGAGGAAGAGAATCAACTCCTGCAATGTGTGCTCCTATGTTCACATGCATGCTGTGACACACACATGCACATGCACACACATACACACATCAATGTAATAAAAAATTTTAAATTAAAAATAAAGAAGCATATTTTAATATTTTACATCTTTAGATGTCTTCATTTTCAGATGTATATGTATGTATGTTTGTGTGTGTGCAAATGTTCTTGCATGCATGTGTGCACATGTGGAGGCTAGAGGACAATTTTCGGTGTCCTCAGGGAAGTCATCCAGCTCCTTTGAGACAGGGTCTCTAACTGGTCTGAAGTTCACCAATTAGGGTGGACTGGCTGGCCAGTCAGGGGACCCACCTGCCTACACTTCCAGGTGCTGGGATTACAAACACGCATGACCACACTAGCTTTTTTTTTTTTTTAATATTTATTATTTTTTATTTTATGTGTATGAGTTGTTGCCTGCATGTATGTGAGTGCACCTGTGTCATGGACGACAGAAGAGGGCTTTGGATTCCCCTGGAACTGGAGTTAAGGACGGTTCATAGCCGCCATGTGGGTGTCATGTGGGTGCTAGGGACTGAACCCGGGTCCTCTGCAAGAGCAGTCAGTGCTCTTAATCACTGAACCATCTCTCCAGCCCCAACACACTAGCATTTTCTTTTTTTCCCCAGAGCTGAGGACCAAACCTAGTGCCTTGTGCTTGCTAGGCAAGCGTTCTACCACTGAGCTAAATCCCGCCCCCCACCATTAACATTTTTATATGTGTTCTGAAGTGAGGTCCTTGGGCTTGATAAGTTCTTTATTGACTGAGTCATTCCTCAGCGCCATATGCTCTACTTTTCTTTACTGCACTTATAAACTGTATAGTTTCTGTACAAAGAATGTCTGTTTGGACTTTTTTATTCTGGCCAAAACTTTATGAAATTATCACAGAAGTTTCACTTGAGAACTATCCTGCAAGCATTTTAGAACTCTGTATCGAGACCTTTAAAAAATGATCATCTTGGGTAACCCAACATAAGACATTCCCAGAGTAATTAGGGGAGATTTAAAGCACAGAATCAATACAAAGATTGCTTGTTGCACTATTAATTACAATAGAAAACATCAAAAGGCTTATAAATAAATTATGAAACACTCATCTGCTTTACAAAATATCATGAAAACTGTTAAGAAGATATTTACCCTTGGGAGGCAGAGGCAAGTGGATCTCTGTGAGTTCAAGGCCATCCTGGTCTACACAGTGAATTCCAGGACAGCTGGGGCTACAGGGAAATCCTGTCTCAAAGACAAAAAAAAAAAAAAAAAAAGAAAAGAAAAAGAAAAAAAACGAAGATATTTACCATCATGGGAAAATAGGTATAACCAACACACACAGACACACAGGCACACACACACACAGAATGACAAGATGACAAGAAGAGAACGTGCCCAGACACTAACATCATCTACTGAAGGAAGGGATAATGGGAACATAGATTTTCTTAACTCTTAAATCTTTCAGAATACTAATTTTACCTACTTAAGTAGTTGTAAGTTATTTTTAAGAGTAGGTATTTAATGACAAAAACTGTCAATCATTATCGCTTTGTGACAACAGGATTTGGCTATGCTAGAAAACACACAAAGATACACACATACACCCAAGAACATAGTCAAGCCAGGTGTGGTGTATACCTCTAATCCCAGCACTGAGGGATCAGAGGCAGGACAATTGTGAATTTGAAGCTAGCTGGGACAGCAAATGAGACTCTGCCAAAAAAACCCCAAAACCCCAGAAAAACAAAGCAACAACAACAAAAAACCCCATACATATACCCCCCCAAATCCTCAGTCTGGAGACACCTATAAAAATAGCAACAATAGGATGACTATGATTTGTTACAAAATCCAAGCTTGTAGACAGAATAATGGAAAGCATGGGAATTAGTGGCATAAAACTTGGGCCATGTTGGTTGTATTTATTAAATCTGAGTAATAAATATGGACTTATGCATAAATCTGATGTTTATCAAAAAAGTAAAAGTTAATTAAAAATTTTTAAAGACATGAAAAACACTAATAAGTGCTATTTAAAATTTTAAAATAGAATAAAGTTCATCAATCAGTCACTGAATACTAGAAATACCTCACATTAAGAGGATGTCAGCTGATCAGAACTTTCCTTCATATACTTCTGAGTTGTTACTTAAAAAAACAGAAAACAGAAAAAAGGTAAATATTATCTCCACCATACCAGCAGATGTAAAATGTTCCAACACTTTAGATACTACTACAACGCCAATCAGGATGTCAGGAGGTCCTTCTCAACCTTTGGGGCTGGAACCCAAAGCTTAATGCATGTTTGGTGAGCACCCTTATTACTGAGCTGTATGCCTAGTCTTTCAGATAAATGATGAAATGTGAAAATATATGCATCTTTGAATTGATGAGACACAGTAACTGGGCAGATTCAGTCTCTAGTCTGTCTTATGTTTCTGGCCTGGGATCAGAGGATCTGATTAACTTATTAATCATGTAATTATTATTATTATTTTGGTCTTTTTTGAGACAGGGTCTCCCTGTACCCAGCTGGCCTGGATTCGCTATGGAGACCACACTGGCCTCGAACTCCGCCTGCCTCTGCCTCCTGAGTGCTGGGATTAAAGGCGTGCACCACCACGCCCGGAAATCATGCAATTTTTAAGGTGGAATTTTTTGTTTTGTTTTTTAAAAAGAACTGGGCACAGTGGAAGACACCTGTGATCCTAGCTCTAGAAAAGCGGAGGTAGGAAGACTGTCTTAAGTTCGAGGCCAGAAAAACTACAAGGCCTGTCTCAAAACATCGTGTGTGTGTGTGTGTGTGTGTGTGTGTGTGTGTATGATGGAGGGTGGGGATGGAAAGACAGGGTCTCATACAGGGTTGGCTGGCTTGGAACTCACTGTGGAAATCAGGCTGGCCTACCTGCCTCTGTCTCCTGAGTGCTGGGATTCAAGGTATGCACTACCACACCCAGCAAAAAAAAATTTTTTTTTTTCAAAAAGTAAAGAGACTTGTAAATGACAGTTGCTAGAAAGGAAGACACCATGAAAGCGTTAACATTTCTTTTTAGCACTTATAAACTGAGTACAGAAGATGGTTTTTGGAGTTTATGACTCAGATTTACAGTTTACATCTATGTCCCGATGCTGACGTGATAAGGAGCAGGACCATGGGCCACCTACCACCTCTCCTGGACGCTCCCTACCTCAAAAACTGTCTTTCCTATTAACTGACAGAAGAACAGGCAGGGCTTGCAGGTTACCAAGGCCACAATGAGAGGACCAACAGGCACTATTCTTCCTTTCCTTAATTCCATTACCTCTGGGTAGATTTCATAAGGTTTCCTTCATTCTATTCCATGTAACTTTATCCAAGATTGAAGCAAAGTTTTTAATCTAAAACTCTATTTCATACTTCATTTTCTGTAAAAAAATTAAAACTATATTCACATGTTCACAGGTTCAGACAGTAAGCAGTCATTTACAGAGAAATAAAATAAAGTGAATATTAAATATGTAAATTTAATTTGTACCAACTACTTTACTTTTCAAAGTAGGCCTCTCTTCTCTTCCGCAGCTCTTCTGATGTAAGAGTTGTACTTGATGTCTGTGGAATATCATGAGATACATTTCTGGAACCACCTGAAAAAAAATAAAATGGAATAAAACCCAATCATTTTATTTACCTATTCAAGTTAATACTATGTTTATTCTTGCTGGCACAAGCTTCTATAAAGTTTTCTTCTTAAAAGCATTCTGCTACTATTTTGTAAATATAAGGCTATGAAAGTCTCATGGAAAATCTGATTAAGGTACTCCAAATGTAAAGTGTTCACTACAACCAAGGCTGATCTGCATCTATGATACAGCAGATGTGAGAATATAAGTCCAAAGTGCACCTAGTATGAGGTCTTTAATACCACACTCCTATGTTCTGCAACTTACTAAAAAATGCACACACACCTCTGAAGGCATGGTACTCCTCAGCGCAACTGAAGACAGACGATTACAAAACAAACATGCTCTTCCTCCTCCATGCTCAAAATCTGGGTGATGCCACAACTCCCAAATTCTCACCGATAACTGTACCAATCACAGATTCTACATGAACTGTGAAATAAAGTGGTAAGACGGTTTTCTGTGCATTACTGCACTAATCCAGCAGGTCTCTGCTGCTCAAAAATGGGACTGCATACCATATGGAGCACTGAGATAGGCCTAAAACATGAAAAACCCAGGGTAACAGGAATAATTATATTCATGGAACCTCAATTACACTGAGACATTAAAGGAATTCAGATGATATTCAATCTCAGTAGAATTAGAAGCAAATTCATATGAATTAGATGAAAACAAAATTACAAAAATAAAGCACTTCACACTTTTTACTAAACAGCTTTGAAATGCCTCACAATTTTTCTCTGCCTTCATTCCCAAGGGGCTGTATCTTCACTCTCTATCAATAGACTTACATCAATGAAAAAGATGTGCTCCCTCCATAAGTGGACTCAAGCCTTAAACTGTATAGCCAGTAAGTGTTAGATATTCAATGGCATGCACTTATAAAACAGCTGGACTGCATAAGGGTCATTTGACCACTAAAAGATTAATCCTAATTAGTTGTTGTAATAATTATGTTAGTATTATAGTCAAATAACATAACCAGAAGTAAAATTATCAATTTTACTTCCATTAAATACAAGAAATACAGTCCTAATACATATTATAAAAATGATTTATAATCAACAAATTTTAAAAGAAACGCTGTTTAGAGCTAGTGCTTCTGTGGTAACTGTCAAAGAATTTCTAACAGGGCACTATTCAGAAAAACTAAACAATTTGAGCCAATTCTTCAAAAATGACTAAAGCACACATCAAAATGTTGATACCTTGTATACTGAGCTGAATGGCCCTGCGGAGATCTGCTTCTTCGTCCTCCATGTCAACTTCCTGACGACTGAGCGCCAGAGCCCTTTGTAGCTCCTCCTCATCTTCATCTAACATTCCTGGACCATCGGTGACTGCTAGGACTCGTTCCAGGTCTGCTTTAAGGATACTGGAAAACACAAAGCGTAGTAACTGCAGCCTAGCCTTCAATTTTGGACACAACGTAAAGGCATTTGTAAACTAAAGATTTTAAACAAAAACATTTCCAAGCATCTAAGTCCTAGTAATACAAAGCCAATACACAGTAGTTCAAAGAACTGATTCTATAACGTCAAGAAAACATACCCTAGCTAGGCACAGAGGCCTATGCTTATGGGTCTCAGCTACTCGGGAGGCTAATGTTCAAGAACTGGGTAATTTAGTGAAACCTGCCTCTCATTTTTAAAAGGTGGGGAGGAGCACTAGGGTATAGCTTGTGGTATAGCATATGCATGAAATCAAGGATTTGAACCCAAACACTGAAAATGATCATTATTTTAAATGGGGAAGAGTCTGGAGAAACAGCACAGTGGGCAGAAGTTTGCCTAACATACACAAAGCCCTGGGTTCGATCCTCAGCACCATACACAAAACAGCATGACGACACACACTTGTAATTCTAGCACTGGGGAGGTGAAGTTCAAGGTTATCCTTAGCAAGACAGAGGCCAGTCTGAGCTACTTGAGACCCTGTCTCAAAGAATAAATAAATGCAGAAGCCCTCCAAAAGAATACAGACTACTGCCATTACCCTTGGCTGCCCATCAGAACTAAATGGTAAGATCCAACTGGTAATTTAGTATTACAGACTTTAGCTGCAGAATAGAGAAACCAAGGTGGAGTTGAGCTGAAGCTTACTCCCTGCTGCTGGTAGGGTCTCATAGTGCTGGAGGGTTATATGCAGAGCTTGCATTCTAAAATATTGTCCAGCCAGATAAGATGTGCAATAGTGACATGAGAATTACAAGGCAAACAACCACTTCTTTTGTTAGGACTTTTTTTGTTTTTTGAAACACCTGTAGCCCCAGCTAGTCTGGAACTCACTAAGTAGACCAGGCTGGCCTCAATCTCAAAGAGATCCACCTACTTCTGCTTCCTGAGTTCTGGGATTAAAGGCATGCACCACCACCTTGACTGGATTTGAGTCCTGCTCCACAGGAAGGAATTCATGCCTGGCACCATAAACCTGGTCAAAAGTCCACAGCTGGGGAGGTCATAGGCCCTCCGGGGGAACCTACTTCTACTCTTTCACTAAATAGATCTGTTGTCACATGCCTTCTAAATAGTTTTAGACATACAGATTAGTGCCATTCTCAACCGTGGTCAGAAAAGCTTTTTGTAGAGGATAACAGTTAATGCAGAAATGCATAACTTTCCAAGTGCTAAAAACCCCTCTAAGACTGAAGGAACATCATAGAAGAAAGGACAGAAAGAGTTAAGAGCAAGAGATAAGAGAAGAGTTGTGACATGCTGCCTTCTGGACAAGAATGCGCTCCCAGCAGCTACAGTTACTGTACAAAATCTGGCCATCAACATTCCCGCAGAGATGAGGGAAGGGCTGAGGCCCATCCATAACTAAGAAGCTATTTGGCAATTAATGGTTGCTGAAGGAGGGGGAGTCATTTTTCTTCAGTGGTAAAGCCACTGAAGTTCCCCATGTTCCAGTAAATAACCCTAGGCCCATGTTCATGGCAACCAACCCTAACTCAACTCAAGAAGAGAAAAATGTGGGGCTGGAGCGATGGCTCAGTGGTTAAGAGCACTGGTTGTTCTTGCAGAAGACCTAGGTTCAAATCCCAGCACCTACATGGCAGCTAACAAACTGTCCGTAACTCCAGTCCCAGGGGATCTGACAGCCTTTTCTGTCCTCCGCATTGCACGACACGGGTGCACTTACCTACACGCAGGCAATACATGCATAAAAAAATTAAAAAATAAATAAATAAATAAAATATTTTTAAAAAAAGAAGAGAAAAAGGCATGCAAGTAGGAGGCTATTTGTTGGGAAGAAGAAGGGTTCAGAGAAAGGAGGATAAGGAAAAGTTATGGGGGTTGGATATAATCCAAATGTATTATGTGTATACAAAACTATAGAAACACACAGCTGGACGTGGTGGCATACACCTTTAATCCCAGTGCTTGGGAGGCAGAGGATCTTTGTGAGTTCAAGGCCAGCCTGGTCTACATAGTGAGTTCCAGGACAGCTGGAGCTACAGGGAGACCCTGT